GTAGAAAGGAAATGACTTTCAGAGTTCCTTTTTGGCCCGGTGTGATTGCACTTGGGCGTTCCAAGGACTCCACTCAGCCACGCATTTGCCCAACAAATATTTGAGTGCCCTCTGCCAGCCAGGAATAGAAGCAGGTCTGGGGGTAGACACATCGCTGCCAAAAGTAGAAGAAGACAGAATCTGAGTTCTGCAGTTGGGGAGACAGAGGTGAGGGGCCAAGGGAAGCAGAAAGCTGCGTCTGGGGGGGTGATCAAGCAGAAGGGGCACTTCCAGCCAGAGGGCAGTCAGGGAGATACAAGACCAAGTGTCCTGCCAAACCCAGGATGAGTGCAGAAGGGAGGCCAACAGTGGGGCTGGGGGTGGGGACCCGAGTGGGCTGAATGGCCAGGCTTTGAACTTGTTCTTCCAGGAGCCAAGAAAGATCTTCAGCAGGAGAATGGCAAGGGGAGATTCAGAGTGAGAGTGAGCACTCTGGCAGCCGTGGACTGCAGAGAGCAGATGCTGGGGCCTGCAAGGGGCAGGGGCCGCCAGGGGGAGAGGAGGACACTCTGGGTCTGGCTGAATGTTCTCTAGCAGGGCACCGGCGTGGATGCTGGGGACGCTGGGGAAGAAGCCTGGACTGGGGTTTGGCAGTCTGGGTGGTGAAGGAGGCAGAAGAAGGAAGGTGTGTGTGACCTTGCAGCCAAGGGTCACCCCCAGGGCCTCTCTGGATGCTGACCTTTCATCCGCTGGATGGCAAAGAGGCGTCCATTAAGAAGAGGCTGTGGGGACAGGTGCTCACACCCGCAACTCTACCACAAACGGGCCCAGCTTTGGGGTTGCAAATGTGGCATTATTGGTGCATTTATTTTTTAAAAAAGATTTTATTTATTTATTTGAGATAGAGAAACACAGTGAGAGAGGGAACACAAGCAGGCGGAGCAGGAGAGGGAGAAGCAGGCTTCCTGCAGAGCAGGGAGCCTGACGTGGGACTCGATCCCAGGACCCTGGGATCATGACTGGAGCCAAAGGCAGATGCTTAACAACTGAGCCACCCAGGCACCCCTTCTGGTGCATTTAAAAATATATATGTATACAGTTCCTGGAAGCAACTTCCACGATGATGGTCCTGCAAAGCATGTGCCCATTCCTGCAGACACACACACACACACACACACACACACACGACGTGCACTAGAGCATTTGTTAGTAGTGCAAGAAATGTGTTTTCAAAAGGAAACCATGAAATATTCCTCATTAGCAGATTGGCTACAAAAGTGATGCCCATCAAGCCATTGGAAAGAGTGGTGGATCCAGAATCAGGACTCTCGAATGCCAAGAGTCATCCTGGAGGCTGCTGAATGCAGATTCTGACTTCGGGGGGCCTGGGGAGGGCCCACGGTGCTACACTCCCACAGGCCTCTGTTAATGCCGCTGCCCGATCCCAGGCTGCTGATGTGGAAAGAAACCTAAGCTGTATCCCTCATCGACTGCAAAATAATAGATCCTATTTTGGTAAAAAAAAAAAAATCATAATGCAAGTTAATATATACATTGAATATCCAGAAGGTATGTATTTCTGGTAAAAAAGAGCATATGGTGGACTTCTCCCTTTTATGTTACATATGTAACTATAATGCTTCCAATTTTGGGCGCCTGGGTGGCTCAGTCGGTTAAGCATCTGCCTTTGGCTCGGGTCATGATCCCCGGGTCCTGGGAACGAGCCCCGCATCGGGCTCCCTGCTCAGCAGGGAGCCTGCTTCTCCCTCTCCTACTACCCCTGCTCCCCCTGCTTGTGTTCCCTCCCTTGCTGTGTCTCTCTCTGTCGAATAAATAAATAAAATCTTTTTTTAAAAATGGTTCCTTTCTTTATGCTGAGCAGGAATTATTTTGCATCAGAAAAAAAAATTTTAATCAATAGATGCATTGAAACAAAAAAAAGTTTGTGAGCCTAAGTGTTATGGACAGAATATTTGTGCCCCCCCCCAAATTCATGTGTTTAAGTCCTCACCCCCAGTGTGATGGTGTCGGGAGGGGGGACCTCAGGAGGTGAGTAGGTCAGGAGGGTGGAGCCGCAGGACGGGATTAGTGGTTTTATAGAAGGCACCCTGAGCCCTCCCTCACCCTTCCACCAAGTGAGGACACAGAGAGAAGATGTCATCTGTGAACCAGGTAGGGGGTCTCACAAGACACTGAGCCTGCCAGCACCCCGACCTTGGACCTCCAGCCTCTGGAACCGTGAGAGATAAATGCTGTTTAGGCGCCCGTCTCTGGTGCTCTGTTATGGTCGGACGAAGACACAGAGTTAAAGGCTACACTTTAAATTGTATATCATATTACTCTTAATAGATCGTTCATGCTATTACTTTTAAAAAGCTGTCAGGCAAAGCCCCAACCCGCAATTTTTTCCAGGCTGGGGGACAAGTGTCTGATGCAACAGCCTCGCGTCTGCCCTTCCACTCTGACCCGCCTCGGTCAGCCCCGCAGGCAGGAGGGTGAGCTTCTCACAGTGCAAATCTATTTAGGCCACCCCCGAACAGTCTTACCCACGTCTGCACCTAAAGCATTTCCCTGGTTTCCTGGTGCTCCCAGAATAAAAACGCAGCTGTGGGGGTGGGGGGCGGGGGGTGCAAGCCTGTCACACCTGGCCCCTGCCCCGCCCCCGCGCCTGTATTCTGCGCATGCGCACCCACCTGCACGCCCCGGCATCCGGTTCTACCACTTGCTAGCGACCCTTTGTTGCATCAGTCCCTGTGCCAATAATGGACGGTTTGACGCTTGCATTCCTTGTCTTGGCAACGGGACGGGGAAGCCTCTGCTCTCCCCGCCCCCAGCTGCTCTCACTAGGGAAAAAGAACGTCCTCTCCAACCCGCTGCCCGAATCCCTGGCCGGTGGGGCTATGGCAGTGTGCAGGTTTGGAGATGCAGAGCTCCTCCAACTGAGAAGTAGCCAGAACAATGCCGAAGACCTCCCTCACTTTAGGATTTCAGGGTTGAAAACTGCCCCCAAGATTTAGCCACATCAATCCCTCGCGGAGTCAGAATCCGCGGCTTCGGAGCAGGGCAACCTCCGCCATAAGAAAGCCGAGGCAGGCAGGGCTCCGACTGATTCACGAATGCCCGCTGATTTGGGAGGCCACTGACATGACCTCGCAGTTACGACATGCCAAACCCCTTCTAAGTTACTGAATGGATTTAATTCATTTGGTTCCTGTCAAAATGGGTTAGAAACAAGGGTCTCTGTCTCCCTCTCCCCAGTGAGTATCAGAGAAATTATTCAACGAGAGGGGAGCATGGACCCCAGGGCGTAACAGCAGAAGCGGGACCCGGCAGAGCCTGGAGGTGAGGACACGTGGAGACAAGCTTTCTCATCCCTGCTCTTGCTTCGCCCTTGCACACGACCAGGTCCCGGGAGAGGAAGCACCCAGAAAAGCAGCGGTGGGCCAGCACCCCAGGCACCTGGCTCCTGAGCCCCAGACCGCCAGGACTGGGGGCTGCCCCCAGGGGACCCTGCCTCCCCTGACGCTTCTCCCCCAGGAACCTAGACAGTGATCTGCACAGGTGGACAATGCTGCATCTCTCTGCACTGAAGGCTCCCACCTTCAGCCTTTGACATACTCATTCCGAGTGTTGGTAGCCCTCACAGGGAGACCTGAGGGGCACCGCAGCCCCCCATCAAGATGAGAAAGGAGACCACTAGCAGCATCAGACTCTGAGTGAGGGTGTGACAGACCAAGAACCAAGAGCCTGGCAGAGCCACTGAGGGGCAGCAAGAGGGGAGCAGTTTAAGTTCACCACGAAATGAAACAAGGAAGTTACTTTTTAAAACCTCGTTGATTTTTACAACAGCCCGGTGGGATAGGCACTATCATCTGCCCATTTTGCAGACAGAGAAACTGAGACTCAGCAAGGTTGAGCAAGGTCACCCAGCTAGAAGGCAGGATTTGAACCCCAGCCCCAGAGCCCGGGCTGCTGAGCACGCTGAGTTCTGAAATTTTATTTGGTTGTCACTCTTGTCCTTCCCAAAGTTTTTTTCTCTTCACCAGTAGGCCGTGAGTACTGCTTGTTTCTACTTCCCTCCTTCCTGTCTGCTATACTAGTTTCCTAGTATAAATCACCTGGTAACAAAGTGCCACACACCAGGCAGGCTTAACACAACAGAAATTCAGTCTCGGTCGCGACGCTGGATGTGGGAAATCGAGGTGTAGGCAGGGCTCCTTCCTTCCCCGGGCTCCAGCAGAGAATCTGTTCCAGAACTCTCCCAGCTCCTCTGGTTCCCGCAAATCTTGGCATTCTTTGGCTTGTACCCGCTTCTTTGTGACTTTCTCCCTGTGCATCCGAACTTCCCGCTGGGAAATCCAGGAAAACCTCTTTTTTTTTTAGTTGAAGTATAACTAACATACAGTGTTATATTCATTTCAGGTGTAACCGCCTCTTAACTTGATTACAGCTGCAAAGACCCTATTTCCAATAAGGTCACATTCTCAGCCTCTAGTAGACACGAATACTTTCATCCCGGGACAGGTGTACTGATAGAGGAATCATGGAACATCATCCCATGAAGCCAGGCAACCCAAATAAATAATGAGGTGAGCCATTACACCGTACATGGAGAGATCCAAGGCCTGAGGTTGAGTGAAATAAGCAAGTTTCAGAATAATAAGCTGGGATGAAGTTTCCCCGTAAAATACGCACAGAAAACAACATCAATATTTTCCCTATGGATGTATGAGATGCAAGCACGTCTGAAGAGTCACGCCCTACAGACAACTACGCTCACTTCTGTGGCAGGTCGCCAAGAGGCCTCTCTACCGTAAGCTGTAAGGTTTCAGTCATTAAATGAGCACGTATTTGTGTTACGCCGTCACAAAGTGTTTGGAGAGCAGGCGCTGTTTGCTCCTGGGCTGTTCCCCGAGCTGCCGCCCTCCCGCCAGGAGGGGACGCCATCCCGTCTCGCGCAGCGCCCGCTCTGCCCGGAAGTCCCGCCCCGACCGGAAGTCGGAGTAGGAGCATCCAGGAAAATGGCGGCGTCCGCGAGCGCTGGGGGGACGCGGCGGCGCGGCTGCCGGGGGCGGGGGCCCGATAGGCAGCAGGGACGCGGGGTGCGCCGCGGGCCGGGGGGCGGCACAGATGGGGCCCTGAAGCGGCTAACGCTAGCGGTGGAGGAGTTCGTGCAGGCGAGCTCCGAGGGTGAGATCCCCGGCGGCCCCGCGGGGCCCCGGACGGGGGGGCGCGTGCGGCCCGGCGGGAGGAAAAGCCGCAGGGAGCTGAGGAAGGAGAAGCGGCACCTGAAGAAGGCGCGCCGGCTTCAGAGGACTGCGGGCCCCCCGCAGGGCCCGGGTCCGGGCGGCGGCGGCGGAGCAGGGGGAGCGAGCGGCCCCCGGGCGGACGGGGCGGAGGAGGCGGCGAGGGAGGGCGGCCGGCCGTCCCCTCGTCGGGCCCCACCGCCGCGGGAGGGGCTGCGGCACCCCCAGGCCAAGGGCGCCCGGGCCCGCACCGAGGCCAGAGGTCCCCCCGGGACGACCAGGGCTTCTGCAGCTGCCGCTGCGGCTCGGAAACGGGCCCTTCTGGCGGCCAACGAGGAGGAGGACCGCGAGATCCGAAAGCTGGAGCGATGCCTCGGCTTGAACAAGCGCAAAAGGAGGGGTGACGGTAGCTCCGTCCCGCTTAGCTTTGCCCGCGATGGGCTCGACTACATCTTGGGAGCCCTGGAATCTGGAAAAAATAGTGGCTTGTATGAAAGCAGCAGTGAGGAGGAGCAGGATGCCGGACAGACGCTCCCCGACGGTGGCTTAGAGAGCGGCTCCGAGGGCGAAGGGGAGGAGGAGGAGCGTGCGGGAGAAGAACCGAGCAAGCCGGGAGCGGAAGCCGGAGTGCGGGTCGGGGAGGAGAATGAGCAGAAAACCGCAGAAGGCAGAGCCACGTGGGAAAGGAGCAAAAAGAGAGTCCGTTTTGCAGAAGAAAGGAGTGAACCTTCCTCTGAGGACTCTGACACAGCAGATCAGGTATCATGTGAACAACCTAGATTCTCTGGGGTTTTTCCTGAAATAACAAGCGATGGCAGGAGTGGGACAGAAGTGACCTGTTGATGTATTATTGGTAATTGTTGAGCCAGGTGTGGGTGAATTGGGTTATCATGTCTATCATGTTTTTTAATTTACATAATAAACAGTTCAGGGAGAAAACATCTCTAAAGATCTTTTTTTTTTTTTACCGTATCATTATTTTTAATGTCCAGCATTTACAATACGAGGGCCAGAGCTTTCTCCCCAACTCAAGTTTATAAATTCTTAATTGGCTTGTGAGGCCAATAGGGTTACTTCTTTTCTATTCTGGTTTCTGGGAAGACTTCATTCAGGTCCTCAGTGGTCATCTGATCAAATGGAATTATGTTCCTCATCTTCTCCAGCTCTTTTTCATATTCCTCAGTCCTGGCCTTTGAGAGAGACAAAAACTCGGCACAACTTTTCACATCTTCTTTTTCTTCAGCATCCACCTGAACAGTATATTTATCCTCTGGCACAGGAACCTTCAGGGCATTAAACTTCTTCTCAAAGTCATCTACCAAACCAGCCTTTGCCACATTGGCCTTGTAGTAAGCCCAGTCGATAGCAGGTGGTTTCTCAGGGAGAGTAGCCAACCTGGAGGTAAGTGTCTCATTCCAGGATTTCAGGGAGTTAGCAATGGCCTTCTGGTTTCGGGGTATGATCTCCCCAAAAGCTACCCAGTCAATGGTTTTTAGAGCAAGTTTTCGTGCAGCCATCTTGAGATCCTTCACCGACCCTGGCGGCCTAGAGTCCACAGCAGCAAGGAATGGTCTAAAGATCTTTTTATCCCAGAAAGTTAATGGCCTTCCCACTGATTGTCCTAAGGTGGTATTTCCTTCATTCCGTGTTTACTGCCTCATTGTCCAAACCTGACTTTCAATGTGCTCCCCCTTCGCTCTGTTCCCGCCACTGCTGTGTACCGCAAGGACATCTGCAGCAGCCCCTACTCGGCTCTGCCCTCACCTAGTCCTTCTGTCCAGCTACTCCTACAGTGAATCTCAGAAACACAGAGCTAGTCAACAACACTCCCTGGGATAAAGCCGTACGTTGAAGATCAAGTTCAAGATCCATGACAGAGCAGTCAAGGCCTTCACGGGCTGGCCTCTTGCTATTAACACAGCTTCGCCTCGGCATGCTCCTTACAGGCAGCCTTGTGACTGCACGCACGTCCTTCCTCACTCTCGCCGCACAGCTCTCTGCCCCTACGTGGATGTGTTCTTCTGCCTGCTCCGTCTTCCCTCATCTTCTCACTCTTTGTGGTTGTCTGTTCACGGCGACATCTCTGGGAGTCTCCCATCTTAAGTATATGAACTAACGGGCTTTCGCCTCTGGCCTGTGCCTTAGCAGCGGGCACTTCTCGAGCAGTGTTTAACCGCTGTCAGTTCCTCTCTTAGAACTTTTGTTTTGGACTATTCCTAACTTTTCTTTCACGGCCAGTTGAGGTCTAATTAGTATACAGTTTGAACTAATGGGTATCTCAAGAGCAACAGTTTCTATGTACATAAATGTGATTTCTCCAACTAAGTTTAAACTCCCTAACAGCATGGATCATGCCTTACAAACGTTTGTCTCCTAAAGTCCTCACTCAGGTGCCCAGGGAGGGTTGGTATGGTATCAGTGGTAATGATTTGTAGCCTTGCACGTGGATGATGTAGGAAATACTGAGCAATGGATTGATTCTGATTTTGTCATGTATACTTACATGTTAGTTTTGAACAAGTTTGAAGTTATTTTAGGACACTCTTCCTCCAAAACTGGTGGTGCATGTAACTGAGGTGTTTGTGTACTGCCGTGCCAGCCATAAATTGAGCCTGGGTGAGTGCAGAGTGGAGAGCTCTGGTGGGCAGCTGCCAGGGGGCGCGGCCAGGTCTGAAGAGTCACAGAGCGGAGAACACGATGAGAACACACACTGATAGTCACAGCAGGGGTGACCGGCCCCCCGCTGGCTGGTGAGGGGAGCCCTCAGGACTCCCCAGGGCACTCGGGAAATTTTTGATGTGGATTAAGTCACAGTGGTCAGTCAGTAGTTACAACTTCTGCCCGTCCTTGGGACTCTAATACATAAACATGAACGTAGTAAGCAGAGAAGAGGAACTTGTTCAGTGTAAAATTTTTGTGACTGTCCTTTCAAGCAGAGTCTTTGTGAAAACAACGGCAAGTACATCCCCCCTCACGTGAGGCAAGCTGAGGAAACAGCGGGTGGTCAGAAAAAGGAGGGACTGGAGAGACTACAGAAACACGTCAGAGGTCTGATCAACAGGTAACCTCGCCCATTCCCAGCCCATGCTGTGCCAAGAGCTCATCTGTTTTCTAAAGTTACAGAAACTTTCCCAGGAATTAGACTGTAAGCAATGGGGTGGCGGGGCTGTGGTGGTTGATCAGCTCCTCTCTGTTCCTGTCCTGCTGCAGCCAGATCTGTCCCCTGAAAAGCAGGAAGCCCACCTTTTCCATTTGGTATTTTGAACCCTTCAGAGTCTGAAAGCCACACAGGTGCCCACATGGTGGTTCTGAGAAGTCCCAGGAACAGGGCTGGCAGGGCCTGTCCTCCCCCTGCGGTGGCACTCCGGCTCAGGAATGTGGTCTGCAGCCCCCTTTGCTAATTCCTTGTGGTAGCACATGTGTGCGTCCTCTGCAGCAGGAAGCGTCAGGTCCCTGCCCACAGTGAAGACAGGGCCTTCCCAGCACCACATGGCTTTCCTGCTAGCCTCTGTGGTCACACCCAGTCCTCCCCGCGCCCCCCCCCCACTGCTTTGTTTTTAATGAAAACAAAACACCGTTTCCAGAGTGCCTGGGTGACTCAGTCAGTTGAGCGTCCGACTCTTGATTTCGGCTCAGGTCATGATCTCAGGGTCCTGAGATCGAGCCCCACGTTGGTCTCTGCACTCAGCGGGAGTTTGCTTAAGATGCTGTCTTCCTGGGGCGCCTGGGTGGCTCAGTCAGTTAAGTGTCTGCCTTCAGCTTAGGTCCTGATCCCAGGGTGCTGGGATCGAGTCCTGCATCGGGCTCCCTGCTCAGCAGGAGGCCTGCTTCTCCCTCTGCCCCTGCTGCTCCCCTTGCTTATGCTCTCTCTCTCTGTCAAATGAATAAATAAAATATTTAAAAAAAGAGAAGATACTTAAAAAAAAAAAAAGATGCTGTCTTCCTCTCCCTCTGCCCCCCCCCGCAGGCACTCCTGTGTGCACTTGCAGTCTCTTTCTCTCAAATAAATAGATCTTTTAAAAAAACTTTAAAGATATTATTTGAGAGAGAGAGAGTGCACGTGTGTGCACACAAGTGAGGGAGAAGGGGCAGAGGGAGAGGGACAAGCAGACTCCCCCGCTGAGCAGGGAGCCTGACACAGGACTCGATCCCAGGACCCCAGGATCATGACCTGAGCCGAAGGCAGATGCTTAACTGACTGAGCCACCCAGCTACCCCTAAAAAAAATTCAGAAACAAAAACAGAACACTGTACATCCTAGAATTTTACCAAACATGCTGTTTGAATGCTCAGTGTCAACATAGGCGCAGTGATAATCTTCCAGGTGCATATCCATCCTTCCCTTCTACCAAGTGGAGCAACCTTTTCTCAGTGTGGGAACTGAAGATTTTTATGCTGGCCACTAACCAAAAAGTGGGAAAGTTGGACTTTTTCCCAGCAGCACATACTGATGTGCTGAGTAAGGATGCTTCCCTGCCTCTGCTTGGGAGCCTGGATCAGGATACCAGTGGACTATCATCATTGCAGTCTCCGTGGTCTTAAAGAGTCCTTTGTGTGCTTCCCCAGGGCCACATTTCAAGTGGAAAGACAGCAGTTAGGGAACTGCAGGATTCCAGAGGATTATGTACTCTTACGGGCAGTATATGCTGGGTTATTGGGCGAGATAAAAGCTGTTCATGGGTTAAATGTGAATGTAACATAGGGGGTATTGGTAGTATGGATGACTTCCGTTTTTTTAAATCGACTTACAACATCATTCCTGATGTGAGGCTCGCTGCTGTTCTGCAGGTTGAGTGAGCCGAGCGTGGCCTCCATAAGCAGGCAGCTGGAGGGGCTGTACGTGGCCCACAGCCGGAAGGACATGAACGACACCCTGACGGGCGCCCTCCTGAGCGCCTGCGCCCCGGACACTGCCATGCCCAGCAGGCTGGTGATGGAACACATGCTCCTGCTCAGCGTTCTTCACCGCACGGTTGGGGTTGAGGTAGGGCTCCCTTCCCCTGCGCTGTGCTTCACAGTGGGCTCCATATGGTGGGTCCTGTGTTGTCTGTCACATGAACACTTGATTTTGTGTTTGGGCTATTCTAATGTGCCTTCGTCATTTATTTTTCTCTGGACTGACATCTTGGACTTCCTTCATTTTCTTTGTATTCCAACTCTAACAGGGACTTGTTTCAGATATTCGGAACACAGTGCTCCGGATGGTCTTACTACCTGGGTATTCATGCTAGGTGGAGAGCACTCTTTCATAAGTGAGGAGGCCAGCAGCACGGGAGGTAAACCCGGATTTAATTAAGTGAGGGACACCTGCAACAGGGCCGAGGCTTGAGGCCGCCTGCACGCCCTCCAGATGGGCCCGGACCTTCCCTCCCGTGCCCTCCTCTGTGAAGCGGGGCCTTTGTCAGGACTCAGTCACGATGCAGATGGGTGCTGCTGGGCGAGTCCTTGTCCCCACTCGTCTTGTGCTCTTTGTCTTCGCTTGGTGGCCCTCTGGGTTAGCATCAGGGAGGCTGTGTGGTGCCGGCTCCAGTTCTGATAGAAAGGCTTCTTCTGTCACCTCATATGGCGAGTCACAGCCGCCCAGCATTGTTCTGTCCTCCGGTGTGGCCTTTCCCAGGGTTGTTGGAGGAAACCGCTCTCATCACGGGACTTTATACTGAGGCGCAGGAATGAACGGACGATTCGTGAGTAGGGCTTCCTTGTCCCAGGTGATGTTCGTACTCAGAACTCACTGACCCTGTGGGTCTTTCTTTGGGGCAGTATCTTTCATGGTGGTTTTGGTTTCTTTGCTTTCTGATCACCCTGCCCCCTAGAAAGGACAGCCTGGCCCTTGGGGAGGTGTGCACACTTGTGCCTCCCTTCCACCTGTCCTCGTAGTTCCCAGCAGGGCCTGGAGAGCAGGTGGGCAGCCGCACTTCACGCCCACAGCAGAGCCCGGGGGAACTGTGTGCTGTGCCACATGGCAGCTACAGAACTCTCTGGAGCTGTTGTCAGCACCCAGGTCTGCACGCTTTTCCCCTCGATCTATTTGTCGTTGCTCCCAGAACTCATTGGAGTCTTGCAGAGCCAGCCTGCACAGGGCTCACTTTAATGGCCACAGACTTGCTAGACTCCGTGTCCTCCATGCCGCTAGAGGTTCTGCCATGAAAGCGGTGCGCCATGTGGGGAGACGGAGCCACTGTCACCTGGCAGTCTCTGCGCCAGTGTCTAACCGCGTAGAGTCGGTTTAGTGGGTTCTACATGTGGCGAGTGTATTCAGGGCCTTGGCCCATAGGAAGTGCTCGGTAGACGGCGGTTAGTCATCCTAACTTCTGCCTGAAGCGGGAGGAAGTTTTCAGGTTGAAAGTCTCTTCTCCTTACCACCTATCCTGCCCCTGCAGGCTTCATCGCTCTCCATAGACAACTTTTGGAACCAGGTTTTCCCATCTAGCAGCAGTCACAGCCTGTGAGGTTTGGAAGGTGCCGATTCCAGGACCTTCTGGGTGTTGGGAGGTGGGGACAGAAAGACACAGGCCCCGAGTCTTATGGGCAGCAGGACTCTCCTCCATGACGTCTGTATCAGCTATTTAGAGAATTTCCCTTCTGAAGCAATTGTTTTTTTTCTAAGAACTGTCCTCATTTTCACATAAGACTCTGCGAGTCTCTTCTCCTCATTATGAAGTGTCACAGAGTCACCGGATGCCATTCCTGGTGCCCCGGGAGTGCCATGATTCAGTACCATTATTAGAGGGCTTTCCGAGCACGCCCCGTCCTCCCGCCTCACACCGTGTACTTTGTAATCAAGAGGATTCTCATAGGGACAGTAGTTTGAGTTACAGTAAAAGCTGTAGGCCCTGACTGCCCTCAACATGCAGGGATTCACTGGACTTGAACACAGGAGGTTATTGGTCCTACTTCTTATTCAAACCTCTGCTAACAGCGTGAAGGATATCTGAAATGACTCGTTCCATGGGAAGCCGTTATGGTAGTTAGCTAACAAGGCCCACTAGCACTTCTCCTAGCGGATGACGTGCTCCCAGGACTGCTGCCAGTATGCTTCTTGCAGTTCTTTGAGAAAAACATGCTCACGGGAGTTCATGGAAGGAGAGAGTCTAACAAAGCCCGTGTTGTCAGTTACTGAACTGCTTCTCAATCGTTCAGAAATAAAAATCAGGTCTGTGCAGATCTGTGTTAAATTCCCCAAGTCAGAATTAATGTATATTCTTAAGTAACTTCAGCAACATGAACATTATTTGTATTTTTAAATGTTATCCTAAGTAGGGGCGTCTGGCTATCTCAGTTGGTGGTGCGTGTGACTCTTAATCTCAGGGCTGTAAGTTCCAGCACCACGTTGGGTGTGCAGATTACTGAAAAATAACATGTTAAAAAATAGAAGTCAGGGTGCCTGGGTGGCTCGGGTGGTTAAGCGTCTGCCTTCGGCTCAGGTCATGATCCCAGGGTCCTGGGATCGAGTCCCGCATCGGGCTCCCTGATCAGCGGGGAGCCTGCTTCTCTCTCTGCTTCTCTGTCTCTCTCTGTCTCTCATGAATAAATAAATAAAATCTTTAAAAAAAAAAAAAATAGAAGTCATACTAAGTTATATTTAATTTTGAAGATACTAACTGGAATCTATAAAGTTTTGACAAATGCTAACGTAATTATTCTACTCAGGTGATTGAAAACATACCTAAATATGTTTTACGCCTGAATTTTTCTTGCTATCTGCAGAGTTCTGATTTCTCTTCAGGTCATATTTGAGTACAGTATTCTTCCTCGTCCACGTTTCCGGTGGTCATTTAGTGGCCGGTGTGCCAACGTCCCTCCCTGCCAGCACCGAGCCCCTGCCTCTGTCCCCCTCCAGCTTTAACTTGAGTCGGAGAAATGAGTGTTGTTAATAGCAGTACATTTTTAGAGCCGTAGATGTGTTCTTGACATTTTTTAATAATTTTATTTTTTTAAGGAACCAGAATGGCTGCTGGCCAAAAATACGACCTTGTTGATGATAAAGACCAGCGGATGTACTCAGGTTTGGGAGCCGCGGCAGAGCCCAGGGTGTCATCATTCACTGTGGCCTTCTCCCACGTGCATAGCGCTGTACATTCAGACTTCAGTTTTTAAAGTTCATGCCATGTTGGGGTTTATATCCTACTGTGTGTATATTTTATGTGCCAACTTTCAACATACATTTTAGTTTGTTGAAAGAGGAAGAAGGATCCCTGCGAATAGCTGCTAACGTTTGATTTTTACATGTTTGCAGTGATACTTTTTCTACCTTCTTTGTCCAGGTCGGTGCTCACTTTTTGGAGGCCGTGGTGAGGAGGTTTGACACCGTCTATAAGAACGGAGGTGAAGGGAAGGAGTGTGAGAACTTGCTCACCATTGTCGCCCATTTGTATAACTTCCACGTGGTACAGGCTTGCCTGGTCTTCGACATTTTGAAAAAACTTATCAGAACGTTCACAGAAAAAGATATTGAACTGACCCTGTTAATGCTGAAAAACGTGGGCTTTTCGTTGAGAAAAGATGATGCTTTGTCACTTAAGGAACTGATCGTGGAGGCCCAGGCCAAAGCCAGTGAGGCCAGTGGCAAGTTCCAGGACCAGACCAGGGTACGCCTGACCTGCTGCCTAAGTGCCTGAGTGCTCACACACTGACCAAAGCTTAAAAATAAGTGTTTGGGGTAAAATCGCATTTAATTTCTTAGTGATCCCCATTGTCTTCTGCCTCATCGGGTTTTGTGCCTTTATTATCAATCAGTATGTGCATGAACTTTGTTTTTCTGCTAAGAACTCAGGTATTCTGTGAATTTAAGAATCAGTTTCTTTAACATTTATCCATTCAAAAAATATTTACTGAGGAGGGCTATGTGGCCTGGGCGTCAGGGATCAGCACTCTTGGATTTTCTGCTCTGCTGCTTAACAGTGATGGGCCCTGAGTCTTCCAAGCCTTGGTTTCCCCATCGAGGAAGTGGGGGCTGATTGTGGCTCCTACCTTATCTGCCGGTTGAGAGGCATGGGCGAGCCATGGGAAGCCCACAGGGGAGAAGAGGATGTCACTTTAGGAACAAGAGAAATGTTCTGTCGGGAGCCTGCGGGGGAGCAGGGCAGGAGGAACAGGCAGAGGCTGGCCTCAAGAGGCCTTGTAAACCCTTTTAGGGACTTGAGATTTTAAGAGGCCCTACCTAAAGGGAGCTGAGCAGGTAAATGATGTATGCTATTTTCATGGCACTTTACACCAAGAAAAGGGGGGAGGTGGGCAGGGCAGGGAGACGCCACCACAGGGTCTGGCAGGGAGCCTAAGCATAGTAGCAGTGGGTGTGGGGTTAGGAGTTAGAGGTGACCGGAGGGCGTGAGCTGGAGGGAAGGGCGGTGTGAAGGACAGGAAGGGCCAGGGTTACCCCTGGTGGACAGCAGGACAGTAGGAGGAGACAGACTCAGGAGGGAAGACAGGCCCACTTTGGAAATCCTGAAATGAAGAGGTGCAGTCTCAGGAGCTGGGCAGGCTGGGGAGCTGCTAGCGTCCGGTGGGGTGTGGACAGAGCCCCGAGGTTTCAGCACCAGCATTCAGCTGTGTTGTTGAGGGGAGGAGGGACAGGACGGGGCTTCTGGAGCCAGGTCCCAGAGTGTCCCAAGGAAGCACTTGTCCCCGGTTGGATGCTCAGATTCCAAGTTTAAAACACAAAAGTCAGCAGAGGCAGGAAGTAGCGTCTGTTGCCCGGGGATGGGGGGATGGGGAGTGCCCATAATAGGTTTGGGGTTTCTTTCTGGGGACGATGAAGATGTTCGGAAATTGATCCTGGTACCTGCACACCCCTGAATGTGCTCAGTGTACACTTTTAAACAAGTGAGGTTTATGGTGTGTGAATTAGATCTCAATAAATAAGTAGTTTTTGGGGAAATCTCAGAGAAGGGTATGCAAAAATTCTTTATACTTGCAACTTTTCTCTAATTATGACGTTTTCAATTTAAAAGTTAAAAAGGTATGAAGGCCAGGAATGGGGAAGAAGTTGAAATACCACGTAACTAAAACCGTGGGGGCAGGAGGGGGACTGGGGGCGGGTCAGAGGTGGGGGGGGCAGACGCGAGGACGTCCGATCTCGGGAGGTGCTCAGGGTGCCAGGGGAGGCCAGGTGGCACCATCGTACTGAAATATGTGGTCCTGAGCAAGAGGTCATGTTGGCGGCGACTGTCTCCCTGGAAGACCATCTCCGGTTTACTGTCGGCAGCAGTGACCCTGTGCACGGCCAGTGTAGCTCTTCCCAGGCGGAGGGTCCGTTGTTCAGGCTGTATGAAATGATGGTTTCTTCTGTTTTGTTTTCTTAAAGGTTCGGTTTATGCTGGAGACCATGTTGGCGCTGAAGAACAATGACATGCGTAAAATCCCAGGCTATGACCCCGAGCCTGTGGAGAAGCTCAGGAAGCTAGAGAGAGCGTTGGTGAGGCACTTTCCCTTCCTCACCTCCAGCTCCCATGTCTGCATGGGCTCCTTGTGAAACCGTGGAAGGCAGTTGGGGCTCTAAGTCAGGTGCCGTGTCTGGTTAGTAAGAGTTCCAGGATCCTGAGAGGAAACGTCACATTTCTGTGCTGAGACCCTCGGAGTGGTCCAGGTGCGGGGCTGTCCCTGTGAGTTCGGCGTCCCCAGCACTTAGCCTGTGGCACTCAACTTGGCCGCGCAATACAACTCTCTGACCGCTTTGAAGGAGGGTTCAGGCCAGGGTCCCACCCAGACCAGTGACATCTGCGTGGGGGTGTTGGGGGCTCACCTGTTGAAGCTGCCTGGGTACTCCTGATGTGGGGCTGCAGCCGAGACCCACCGCCATCCCCAGCCAGGGGGTCCTTCAGCTGGCTCTGGGCAGCTCTGGAATCGTTGGCTCGGCAAACCCCAGGCACTCCTGGGCAAGGTCTCACCACCAGCTCTGTGCAGCTCTCCTCGGGGCCTGCGTCCGAGCCTCCTCCCTGGTGTGACAGCTATCCATAGACAGCAGCGTGTGGGGTGATAGACCCACAGACCTCAGACAGGAGCACTGAGTTTACCTCTACCTGTGGCATTATTCCAAACTGGCTAACTGTCCCAGCTGTCAGGGACTCAGCACAGTATTCAGGGTCAAAGACGAGAGAAGCCAGAGGGTGACGGTGGTGCCTACCAGGAGCCAACAGAAGTGTTTGACTGGCTCCTTTCTGTCAGGTACAGAGCGCTGGCTCCGGCACGGACACTCAGCTCCGCATCTCCTGGGATGGCATCCTGAGCGCCGAGCAGACTGGGCGCTGGTGGATCGTGGGGTCCGCGTGGAGCGGGGCTCCTATGATTGACAACAGTCAGCAGAAGGCCCTGGAGAAGCAGCCCTCGGGGACGGTACGAGAGCCCTACGCGGTCCCCCAGTGTCCCGCAGCCTGCCCTGCAGGAGCCACCTGATCCCTTGCATGTTATGAGATGTGCTGGCATGTCTACAGAGACCTTACAGAAACCCTTTGTTGTGTGTTACGATTTCATTCCATTTCTGTGGTTTAAATCCCAAAATAACATGCGTAAAAGACTTAAAAGTTGAGTGGAGTGAGGGGAGCATAGGAAAACCCGAATAGTCAGCTTGCAGATGCCGGCCTTGAGAAGTAGATGGTTTCCCAGGAGGTGTGGCTTCTGGTCCATTAGGCTCGGATTTCAAATTGTTGGAATTCTTTGTATTTCTTTGTATTTGATTATTAACTAAGGTCCATATGTTATTCAGATTTCCTTCATTTTCTCCTAATACCGTTTTTTGTCTCAGGATCCCACGTCACACCTCCTGTGTCGTCCTGGCTGCGGCCACTTCTAACTTCTGTCCTCATTGCCCGGACTGACAGGTCGTGCTGCTCCTGAGACGCTCCCCCGAATCAGGCGGTTTTCTCCTCCCATGCCTTACTTTGTCTCTTGCTGTGGTTCTCTCTTCATGGGCGTGTACCCAAGAATAAAGATTTAGCACTCACGTATATGTATTTCCACGTAACTTAGAATTAATCTTCGTGACTTAGAATTAATCTTCGGGAAAGCCATGGAAGAATACCTGTTATCTCTTAGAAACTTCGTAACCGCATAAACCAGAGTAACTTTTCCTTGAAACATCCGTGTGGTCTCTGTCTCAATTACTCCTCTTTCAGGTTAGCGGGAAGATACTAGAACTTGCCCGAAAGCAGAGAATGAACACTGATGTCAGGAGAAACATATTCTGTACGATAATGACTAGTGAAGATTTTTTGGACGCGTTTGAGAAGCTTCTGAAGTAAGCATGAGTGCAAACACTTTGATTAGATGTTGTTGAAGAAATTCGCACAGCTGGGTTTGCGTCACGGAGGGTTGGGTCAGATGCTGCTGGGCTGTCCTCCTGCCCTGGGTCCAGGCATGCACTAGTCAGCAGTCTTGCTCCTGCTCACTGGCCACTGGTAGTTCCAAAACGTTTTATGATATATTTTGATTAAAAGTACTAGGTGACCAGCTAATTAGTCACAGTGACTGTTGGTTGTCATAAATTGCTTAAAATTCTCATATTGAGGTTGTGTTTTTGATTGCTTCTAAATTAAAACTTGGTGTAGTTTCTGTAATTAGTTGTAAAAGGATTTTAAAAGTACCTGTGTACCTTCACAAAATGTTTCTCAACAAATCTGATAACTGATTTTCCTTTATGTGCTCCAAATGCAGAATACCCGGGAGTCACAAGACTCCCACCTCCTCTCCTCCGTCCCTTTTGAACCAAACTGCCAGGCAGGATGTGCTCTCCTCGGAGATTTCCTACTCCTCGCCGTCTCTGTTTTGCAGGCTTGGGCTGAAGGGCCAGCAGGAACAGGAGCTTGTTCATGTTCTCATGGATTGCTGCCTTCAGGAGAAAACCTTCAACCCTTTCTACGCATTCCTGGCTGGCAAGTTCTGTGAACACCAGAGGAGGTTCCAGGTAACCCGCTAGCAGCCCACCAAGTCACCTGTGCTCCGCGGTCTTCCTAGGGTTCTCTGGCTCAGCCCACTGGGAATGAGTGCCGAGTGAGGCGTCCAGCCTGGGCCGAGCTCTGTGTGCAGGGGGACAGTCCCAGGGCCCACACCCCCTCGGGGAGAACAGGGGCGCATTGCAGAGGCAGAGTGACCAGGGCAGGGGCTGCCGGGCCCCCTTTTCCTGTGGCAGAGGAGGGTGTCGTGTGGCCCGTGTCGCCAGGGGAGTGCCTCCTTGTTCTTAGGTGGCACCAGCCTTCTCTGATCTTTCTCAACATTTCTGCCAATTGGAGGGGAAAACCCACAACAAAGAAATTACTGTGGCATTGTGTGTAGGAAAGGAGGGTGTGTTGCTCCTGGCTCATCCTGACTTGGCTTTGAAGACACTACAAGCAAATGAGCTGTAGAATACATCTAGATTACATCCTTAGCGACTTGTTCTAACAGTGGGCTGCATTGTAACTCTTTCTTCTTCTTTTTCAATTGTTCTATTAGATGACTTTCCAGTTCAGCATTTGGGATAAATTTCGGGACTTAGAAAATTTGCCAGCCACTAATTTCTCTAATTTGGTTCACCTGGTAGCCCACTTGTTGAAGACGAAATCACTTCCACTTTCTATTTTAAAGGTTTGTATCATGGATGAAATTATTAAAAGCAATGAAAATGATAGTATAATTGTTTATATTTGGTACCTTAAGAAAATGCCTTTCCTTAGATTCTGACTTACCTGGAAAGTGTGTAACACCCTGGCCATCCTAGAAAGTAGCCAGAGTAGTTTGCCACGTAAACGTACCAAGTAAATACTCAAAGGCACGGTTACAGTTCTGCTCACCTCCAAGAATCTCGTTTGCACTTTGGGTTCACGTGCAGGTCCTCGCTCTTGGCCGCTGCTCAGTCGGGAGGGGGATGGGGAGGCCTAGGAGCAGGTGAGCTGTGGTGCAGGACTCTCTGCTTCTCCCTCTGTGATGGGCGGCCCCCCCCCCGTACCCCAGCCCTGCCGTGTTTCTGTGTCGCATCCGAGCCAGTGAGGTACAGGTGTCCTGCTGTTGGTCTGGAGTGGACAGGGGACCTAGACAGAGGATGTGGAGTTCCAGGTGGCCGTCAGGCCTGGACAGCAGGACCACTGGGGCCTGGGCATCCTAAAAACGGGGACAGTGAGGGAAGCTGAGGGCCAGAGAGAGTGCTGGGCCCGGGCTTCTGTGCCTCGTGCTTCCTGACCTGCAGACACTGCAGGTGCGGTCTCCTGCTTGTGCGCGCGTGTGTCCGTCCACCAGGGCACTGAGGCGGGTTCTCCCTGTGCCTCTTTGGGGTGTGGGACTAGGTTTGGGCCACTGAGCCAAAAATGAGAATACTGTCAAGTGTGGAGAGGACATGCCTTCTCGTTGCTGGACTAGATCTTGCCGGCAGTTCGCTCGAGTTTTGAGCTCCGAATGGAAGAGGGTACAGTGTTCCTCTAGATTCAGTAGAACCTGGAGATGTCCTTGAAGCTTGTCCCAGGGTCCTCGCTCCCCCCTCCCACCACCGCCATTCACAGGGCCCTCTCTGGTTCTCAGGCGGGCTTTGGAGCTCTTCCCTCAGATGGCACGGCACGTTCTCTCATTTCACACACTGTCACCCTCCGCGTGGACAGCAGTATCCTGTCCTCCACGCTCCGAATATCCTCTCACAGCTCTTTGAGTCCACATGAGTTTGAAATATATACACATTAGTGTCTGTGATTTTGTTCTCTGGTTTGTCACTTCTGTGCAGTATTCCATTGTGTAAATGTACCAGAATTTATACGTAATTCTTAGAGAACATATCTGAGTTATTTTTCCTCCTAGGTCCAAATCTTCTATGTATGGTTTTAATTAGGGGGTAGTTTCTCTAAGGCATGGAGATACGTATGTTTCAATTCTAGGATTAAATTCCTGATTCATGGAAACTCCACAGGGGCAGGTTGCTCTTGACAGCAGTGTGCACACCCCTGCTGGCAGAGCGCACGAGACCCCCGGCCCCACGCCCTTGCCCACCCGCAGCGCTTCATCTTCTGTAGCTGGAAACAGTCTTACTTAAAGGGGGTGGGTGATTTTTTACTCTATTTTTAGAAATTACTGAAAAAATTGACTAAATGTAACTTGTTCTGTCTGTCCTGACTCTAATTAGGTAGTTGAATTCAGTGAATTGGATAAACCCAGAGTCCACTTTTTACGAAAAGTGTTATATATTCTGTTAATGGAAACAGAAGTTGAAGACCTTGGTTCAATTTTTGCAAGGTATGTTCCCAGCTTATTTTGTTAAAACATGTGGAAAAGAGACAAAGAGAATTATTTTCACTTATGTTGACTTACACATTAGGTGCAGCTTAATACACTATTTTCAGTTTCCATTTTAAGCAGATATCTTATGCATTCGATTTGGGGAACATGAAACTTGCCTAATAGCAAACTAATGATGATCTCTAACACGTAGAATATGTTGTTAAGCTCTTAATTGAGAATTCTATTTTTAAAAGCAATTAGGTTATGCCTCCCAATTGCAGTCCTAGAAACTGCAGTCTGGAGAGACTAGCTCATCACTGATGCACGTTTATGCGCCTCCCTTCCAGAGTGTCTGACAACCCGAAGCTGGGCTTGTTGAGAGAAGGTCTGAAGCTCTTCATCAGCCACTTCCTGTTAAGGAGCGCTCAGGTGAACACAAGTGTGGAGGAGGCCAGCATGCTGAGAGAGAGGGCTGACCTCTCAACTAAGTCTCTGCAAGGCAAGGCTTCCCTGAGAATGTAGTCCAGAAAAGGAGAGGAACGGGTGGTCATTTGTCTGAAAGTGTCCTTTTTAAACCCAAAAGGCTTATTATTCTGATGACCATGTGTGTAAGCTTGATGGAGCTATGCCACAGTCTTTTGTATTTAAGATACTATGTTTTAGATAATTTTTAAATTCAGGTTATATTGTATTTATGTTTTAAACCGTTTTCACCTGTTCATAGAACGGGGTGGGGAGAACGCAGGGAGGGAAGGACAGGCAGACACCGAACAGGTTCTCTAAACAGACTGGGTGGGGTGTGGGTGTGATCACGTGTGTGATGGTCTTATTTTTAAAAGACAGTCCACTAGAGGGTGCAGTTATAAAGAAATTGATGGCGTTTTTTAATCTTCTTTATGTATTGATTTAAAGTTCAAAAACCACTAGTTCAATGTGCTACCTAATATTTAATTCATTATTTCAAGTATTGGGAATGCACGTGTGTTGGAAAAGTGAAGAGTTGACTTAAGCCTTGCACATACCTGTACAGCATGGTACGCACAGAAGCTTCCCACCAGCACTTGCCTAAAATTCTGACGTGGTGAAGGACGCTTCCTGCGTGTGTCCGTCACTTATACATTAACTCCAGGTTGTAAAGCACTGTACTAAGCAACTTTGAAGTCACCAGATAGATACCGGATGCATGATGGGTATGCCTCTGAGCTAGGTTCTAGGAGGAGTGCGTGTGAATAAAACAGAGCTGCCCCCTGCGAGGAATGAACGTTTATCTAGTGAAAGACACATTCCACGGGTACAGTCAACTCTGGCTGATTCTGAGAAGGCACAGATCGACAAATGTCTGTTCTCCAGCTCTTAGAATTTGCTTCTCTGTCTTAAATGCTGCAAACTTGAGTTAAATGTCACCTTCAGTTATTGAAAAGTCATCAAAATGTGTGTATAGAGTAGGATTTTCTGCAGCATCCACACATGCCCGGCAGTGCACTGCCCCGCAGAGTGGTCACTTGGCCCGAGTGAGGCCACTCCCGCGCAAGCTTCCCTTTGTCGCAGACTTTCAAACACTATCTTTACGTGGCCAGACAGCAGTTTGTGTTTAGAAATGACCACGTGAAGTCGTAAGCGTCTCCGTGTACGCTGCTAAACTAATGGTTTAAGTCTTGAATGCACAAGGAACACAGACATCTGTTTGCTGGCCTCCCCCGTGCTTGTTGAGTCCACCAACGGCCACACCACACCCGTGCCTTCCAGCTGGTTCTGACCCTCGTCTGCAGAGAACAGAGAGCGCTAGCCGAGAGGCTCCACTTTCTCTGCGGGAGTGGTCAGTTCTAACCCGGGTTCCCATCTCCGCTGAGGGCCAGCACAGCTGCCTGCATCCAGAAGTCTGGCTCGGAAGAAGAATGCACCAGTCGAGCTAGACAGTGTGCTTACTGACACAGTCGACTTGTATTTGGTGCAAGCTCCCACTTCCTTGAAGACTCACGGAACTGACCCGAGGCCTCGCACTGTGGGGGTGGCTACTAAGACCGAGAAGAACGGTCCCCCCATCCCTGACGTTCACTGACCCTAGTTGGGGGCGTAGCTGAGCTCAGGCCGACTTTTTGCAGAAGATAAACTTGAGTCAACTGAAATTTTTATTTTTATGTTGTCTTTTATTATTAAAACAATAAAAATGTCTTTCTGCCATGGAATATACTTGTGACTTAATTCCTAATGTCCTGGTCTTGCCTGTATTATATGGCAGGTTATCCATAAATTTGTCCTTTTTGTAAAAGGCCCTTTTAACAGCAAAATATCGTGGCTTATCACATGCTCCTGTGAATTCAGATTTCTTTTTAAATATATAGGTTTTTATTTTTATTTTTTTATTTTATTTATTTATTTTTTTTTTAGAGAGAGAATGAGAGACAGCACGAGAGGGAAGAGGGTCAGAGGGAGAAGCAGACTCCCTGCCGAGCAGGGAGCCCGATGTGGGACTCGATCCCGGGACTCCAGGATCATGACCTGAGCTGAAGGCAGTCGCCCAACCAACTGAGCCACCCAGGCGCCCTAAATATATAGGTTTTTAAAATGTATTACAGTAACACTCAGCGTTTAAAAAATACTGTCTTCGGTGCTTGGTGTATATGTAATTTTTGGACTTCTTATAATGCAGGTTGAGAACTGCTATTGATAGAATTTCTGAAAAGACTCTTTTGGGGGATTTCATCTTTTTTTTTCTCTTTAAGTAATCTCTGCATCCGACCTGGGGCTTGGACTCACTACCCCGAGATCAGGAGTCTCATGCTCTACCAACTGAGCCGGCCAGGAGCCCCTAGGGGATTTCATCTTCAAAATAGAGACTAAGGGGGGGTGCCTGGGTGGCTCAGTCATTAAGCGTCTGCCTTCGGCTCAGGTCATGATCCCAGGGTCCTGGGATCGCGGGCTCCCTGCTCAGAGGGAAGCCTGCTTCTCCCTCTCCCACTCCCCCTGCTTGTGTTCCCTCTCTCGCTGTGTCTCTCTCTGTCAAATAAAATCTTAAAAAATTTTTTGAAAAAAATAAAATATAAATAAAATCAGTTTTTATATTTTATTTAGAGTGCCAGTGAAGGTTTATTTTGAAAGAACGGGTTTGCTGGTTCTAAGATCTACGCCTTATCTTTCCATTTCTAGGAAATCTACCTAAAAATTAGTCTCCGTCTCACTCCTCCCCTCCTTCTTTGCCCAAAGACCCAGATAAAGCAAAGGAGGCAAAATGTTAACCATTAGTGGATCTGGGTGAAGTTTATATGGACAAAGTATATTCTTACAACTTCTCTGTAAGTTTTAAGTTATTTTAAAGTACAGAATTTGTATAAGACATTCATAATGCAGAACTCATCCTTCAGTTTTTAAAATACTCTGATGTTTTTTCACAAAAATAATTAAGCAAATCACCTTTGCCTCTTTTGTAAAAAAGCTTTTAGGCCTTACTGTGTAAACAGTGATAGGGTTTCTGTGGTTTGCTTGGACTTGGGGCACCTGGGTTAGCAGGAGGAGCCCGAGTGGATGGAGGGGAGGTCCCGTTCATTCCCTGATCACTGAGCCACAGTCAGAGAGCCTCGGGATCAAAGCCTGCGCATGGGCTGGGTGGCCTTGGGCACTGAGTCACCAAGAGTTGAGCGTTCCTTGAAGGAACTGTGTAGGATTCAGACTCCACATGTGCATTTGAGACACCAGCACCCTTCCCACCCCAAGGCACGGGATCGGACTCGTGCTTTCTCTCCATGGGTCAGTCCCTCGGTCAGTAGCTAGACCCAGGGTTTTCTGAACCACTTGAGAGAAAGTTGCATTATCACATCCCTTCACCCTAAATGACTGTTTTTCCTAAAAACACCGTCTAATTACTCAAGTCGGGAAATGAACATTGATGGAATGCTGGCTCAGTCCCTTCGTTTGGGTTTTCATGCTGTTCCCTGTTCCTGCAGGTTACGCCTTCCATTCCTTCTCGGTGCGCCGCATCGGGAGACGTGTGATGTCGCCAACGATAACTGGTCAGCGATCGAGGCAGGCTTGGCTGGGATCTGCCTGGCCACTGACCGCTCCTCTGCAAGTAGTGGGGGGATGGTGTCAACCTGTCGCGTTCCCGGTCACTGCAGCCTCCGTGTGGAAGCTGCGCTGTCTGGGATTTTCTGGGTCACAAACATCGTGGCTGGCCGGTCCTGGGTCAAGCAGGAGGAGCTTCCTGCCACACGACCTGCCAGCCCTCTGGGCCCTCGCCAGCCTGATTCCCTCGGGGAACACCTCTCAGCCGAAATAGCAGTGTCTTCTGTTTTCTGCACCGAAGGCTGAGAGCAGGGCAAGATGCCGGGCCCGGAGCACTACAGGACACCCTGTTGACCCCCACCTCCCGAGGGGCCACTGAAGTCCTTTGCTTGACTTTGATCCCCGTCTGGCTACCCTGCCCCGATTCCAGAGCGCACGTAGCATCCTGATCACGGTTCCCAACAGCAGGCTGGCTGTGGGGGCGCGTCGGACGCTGGCTGGTGTGGTGGGAGTCAACCACAGACGTTTCCTCTCCGATCTCAACCCCTCTGTGCCTCGCTTCCAGCTCTCAGTGTCGTGCACGTGGGAGTGTTTGTTCGCGTGGCTGTGGTGTCTCTGACATCCGTTCAAAGCCTCTTCAGCGGAGGCCCCTCACGAAAGTGCGAACTGTTGATCCCATTCTGCGCTTCCTGGGGGCCTGCCCGGTGCCACCCAGCAAGCCAGGCCCAGGGACACCCTGAGCTCCAAGATCTGGTTGAAGTCTGACCAACAAGCCCTGTGGTGAAGGTGCTCCGGACGTGTGAGGGGAGCAGCCAGCCGTGCCCAGAGGGACAGGGATGGAGAGCTTCCCACGGGGAGGAGCTGAGCAGGGCGTTCTGGGGGGTCCCTGGGCACAGAGCCCTGCTGTGGCCTGGCTGGCCCCAGACTTGGCAGTCCACGGTGCACGTGGAGCCTGACCGAAGGGCCCCAGTCTCCACGCTGAGGACGTGGGGTTTGGTCAGCGATAGCAAACCATCAAAGGATCATTGGCGAGGAGATTAAGTCCCTGAAGTTGGGTTTCAAGAATATTGGCCAACGAAGCTGGGCTCTGGATGGGCAAGTGGGCATGCTGATGACAGAGGACGGGCCAGTGAGCGGGTTCTTGTGACCTTCCGGCCAGGTGGGCCACACCGGGCCAGCACAGCAGTGGCAGCAAGGGGGATGCTTCAGCAGACATCTCGGGGGACAGGGCAGCTCAGCCTCTGGCGTCGGGGAACCCACGGAGGTCAGGGTCGGGGGGGCGCAGACACACCACCTGGAGGTGGGAGCCCCGCAAGGAGTCAGGCAGCCCGAGGGCGGAGAACAATGCCGGCCGCGGAACTTGGGGCTGTCTAGAACCAAGTCAAAGACACATCCTGCGGACAGCAGGTCACTAACAGCAGAGGCAGCTTCACGCAGACATCGTGCGGGAGCTAAGCACCCGGGGCCCCCCGAGCCCCTCGTGAGACCTCCGTGAGCACAGGGGGTTGAGGACACACAAGCAGGTGCCTCAGGAACGCTCCTGTGCAATCCAGATGAGTTCCCAATGGTCGGGAGAACTTGGGCCTTCTCAGGAGAGTAATCCCGGCCCGGGCATCGGCACTTTACTTTTTCCCACCCCTGAGGTTCTGTACCCCACGCTACCCTGCCAACGCCGGCAGGAGGAGCCGACCACTGCGGGGTCGAGTTCACAAGAAGGGGACATTTATCTTGAGCTCAGCTGGATAAATGATGAAAAATTATGTTTGCATGATAAGATGATGAAAGGGAAATGGGGCCCGGCTTCGAGGGCCCCGAGGGTGCAGAGG